CCCTAACCTAACCCTAACCTAACCCTAACCCTAACCTAACCTAACCCCTAACCCTAACCCTAACCCTAACCCTAACCCTAACCCTAACCCTAACCCTAACCCTAACCCTAACCTAACCCTAACCCTCGCCTACCGGCTCCTCATTCCACAACTCGGGTTAGCATCTCAACTCACCCTCGGGTTACACTCCTTCCATGACCACGGGTTACGGGGTTAGCACTATCCATCCTACATGAGAATTGCTTCAAGTTTATAAAGTATGGCTTTCAAAACCTTCAGCCTGATTCCAGTGCTTAACATACCTCCAAGTCTCAAGTTGCTCTGCCAAGTCTTTTGTTTCCATCACATGTCTACCATAAACCAAGTTCAACCATACTTAAGATGGACTTGGAGATCATAAAGAACTTCCTTCGTTCGTCATCTCCTGGTATGCTACTTGCATGTCTGACTTCACTTGCACATGATAGACTTGATGCTGGGTTACTTATTCCAAGTGTATCTTGTGAACACTTTGTATAGAAGATGGACTTGAACCAGATGGAGATCATAGAGAACTTCCTGGTTTTATCATAATGGTATGCTACTTGCATGTCTGACTTACACTTGGTTCTTGTTGCTGCAGATAGACTTATACACATTGCTTGGACTTGCTGAGAAGGTTCTTGTAGGACTTCTTCAAGTTGCTTGACAATCATGGTAAAGAACTTGCTGACTTAGTCTAAGTTTTACACCTTGTTCATCTTGCATGTCTGACACTGAGATCCTTTGTTGTTGGTAGATATAGACTTGTTGAGATTGCTTGACATGCATATTTTCATTCATAACTGCATCTTGTCTTGATGATAGCTGGATGGACATGGAAGGGTACCAGAGCAAAACATATTCACAGGAGGGACATAACAAGTTGATTGACCAAGGATGCCTCAGAATGGTTTTCATTCTATTTCTCCTGCATACAGGTCATCGGATGTGAGGTGAGTTTCAGATCTATGCCCTATTGGGACTTAGGACTCTTCATCTGCAGTGAGTTCTTAAGATCTTGGGCTCAGATTCA